GAAATCTAGAGATTTAATTTATTTAAATTAATTAAATTCTATTTGATGATATCTTGCTTATCTTGCACTTTTGATTTGATATATGTAAAGACCATGATATGTTGCTTAACATATATTATTTGAGGTTATTTGAAATCTAGAGAATTTAATCACCTTGTTTAATTAAATTATATCTAATGGCTCCATGGATCTATTGGTATTTTAGAAGTGTTTCTATATTCAAATCATGGACTTGAACTTGTTATATATTCACTTGATTGTGTTTTGAGCATTGGACAACTTTGTTGTTATATTTATATTCATGAGAACATGTTTTCTTTATAGAATATATTGATGCCATGTGTAGTGAATTGCACACTTTGTAATTGACATTATGTATGTCATTTTAGAATTGAAACTCTAAGGCATGGATTGTGTGGTTTCAACATACTTGTGCATGGAAGGTGTTTTCATGCATTATATAAGTTATGTATAAGTTGTGAACTTATTTGGTTTAATTTTGGAATCTTGGAACATTGTTGAGTTGAGATGGCTAGGGTTTGGCTCTAGTACGGGGACGTGAGTCCTCTAAGTCATTGAGATAGTGCGCACTTAGGGTGGTCTTCCCTGCGGGTTAGTGCCCGGAATAACCATTGAGGTCTCGGCAGAATTCCGAGCTTAGATGTCCAAGTCTTCCATTATTTGTTTTCGCATTCAATTCCAAGTTAACAATCATGTTTATATTGTAACTTGTGGTTTTAGTTATTGGCGATTTTAGATTTCTAGTTGATAACCTAGAGAACCTATGTCTTGATGTGTGGTATTAGATATTCTAATTATGCTAAATTGTTATATTTAGTTGATTTTGCATTTTAGACTTCAAGTTGATTACCTTGAGAATCTATTTGTTGTTGCTTTGTGTAAGCATGCTCCTTTGTTGCTGCTTTGTGTAAGCATGACCCTATGTTGCTAAAATTGCATGAATGAGGTGATTAATGCTAGAAATGATCCTAGGTAGCTAGGATGCTCCTTGAGTCTCACCTTTGACATAGACGTTAGGTGGAATGAACCACAATAATTAAATCATGTAAACTTGTAAAACGTAGGTCGATGCATGCGCATTTTCTACGAGTAGCTTTATGTTACTCACCCCTACGATACTGGGGCATATTTCAGGTACAAGAATCAAGGTTGCGATTCTCGTCATGCTTGGATGATTGGTGGACTTGAAGATTTTCATTTCTTGTAAAGGTTGGCTTGAAAAGCTATTTGTAGCCTTATATGTCAAAAAATGTATATTTGAATTTAAACATGTAATGTGTACATGAGTGCACTCCTTACAATGTATTTGAGATGTATAAGATGAGGCCGGAGGCCAATGACATGTATTTGTATTCTATCTAGTTTTGACTTCATGAAATATCATGAGAATATTATAAAAATGTTAAGTTTTGTCTCACTGTATTTGCATCGGGTGTGGGAGTTCCATTTTGATTCTTCTGTAGGATCTCATTAATCATGCATGAAGTGAGGCAAAGGGCCAAACGGTAATTTCCAAGCATTTGCTAATTTTGGTTTTCAAAATTTCCATTTCAAATACATTTTCGCCTTTTTGGCCGTCAAGGGGTCGGATTTTGCATCGGTCGTTTTCGGAAGTCTCGGACCATTTCCGAGCACTCAAAATCACTTATTACGTTTACGTGCATATTCGTTTCAGCCTAGAAGTGCATTTGGGGTCAAAGGTATGTTTGGTGCAAACTTACATTTTTTGCCGTTTTGAGCCTAAACTGAGCATAAGGGCATTTTGGGGTTTTCACTTGAAAAATAAAGTTTTCTTTTGGCATGGTTGGCTAGAAAACATGATTTTGAGGGTAGTTTCTTCTTTGTGTTTTTCTCAAAAAGGCCCAGAAAGTCCTCAAAATTGCATTTCAAGTCAGCATTTCAAGAGCAGCCTACAGGAGTTCGAGGGCTCTAAATGGGGAGTTCGAGCGCTCGAACTTTGGGCAGATTTCTTAGGGCAATTTTTGAGCGCTCGAAGTCCTTGTTCGAGCGCTCGAAGTACTGTTCACGGGTGTGTGTGTGTCTTGATTCAGCACTGCACTTCCGACTTCAAATCATCATAACTTCTTCGTTTTAACGACGAATTGGTCCGTTCTTGAGTCTAAATTGATCGCGTCGAAATAAGCTTTCCAATGGTACTCATTAGAGCTTCAGATTCTTCTTGTGGCTCAAGTTATTCAAGTTTTAGTAAGGTAGTGTCTGTTTTTAGTTCGAACCGAGATGGGGTTTCCCTTCCTTCGACTTCAGAACTTAATATCTTTACCGTCCGGACTCCGAATCAAATGATTCTTGAGTCTATCCTTATTAATTTTTCATTGTCTTTCCAATGGTGTGCACGGTGGCACCCATTTTAGTGTGGAATGACCATTTTGCCCCTAGGTTCATTCTTATCCGTTTTTGAAATGTTATTTCCGTATTTTCTTCCTTTGGATTTCGTGACCTCGTTGAGGGTCACATTGGTGTCTTAGAGGAGTGTTGTATCTCTAGAGACCATTGTTCTATCTTTTGCTTCCGCATTTTGGATCCGTTTTGGGTCATCACAGGACACACTGGGTTAAAAAATCCAGGTTCGTCACATCGTCGCCGCCGTGCGGTTCATCCTCTTGAGCACATCTCGCCACCCTGGTTAGGGACAGTGGTTCTTGGGGAAGGCATTGACTTTGGATGCAAAATAAATAAATAAAAATTCACTTCTTGAAGTGAGTAATGGGGTTTGTTTTGTTTGGGGATCTGGTAACTAAAATTTCAGATATTGGGGGTCAATTTTGTGTTGCTGGTGCAGGAATTAGAGTTTTATTTTGTGTTTGGAATTTGATTAAACAAATAAGTGGAAATAATTGGTGCTTGAAGAGTGAAAATTGGGTATTTCGGAAACAATTTTCTTATGGGTGTAGCTACTAAATTGTACTTAAATTTTTCTTTGGATCAGTTTTTGCCGTTTGTATAATCTTCTTCTTCTTCTTCTTCTTCTTTTTCTTTATTTTTTTTTATTTTTTTATTTTTATTATTATTATTTTTTATATTGGATTAGATTTGCAAGGAATTGGGTTCTAATCTTTTCTTCTCTTCATGTTTAGTACTGAGAAAATGCCAGCCTCCACTCAACTGACTGCCATCAAAGCATAGAAGATCTTTTTTTTTTTCCTCTCTCTCCAAAAAAAAAACCATATAGTCCTTATATTACCTATATAAAACATATATGGAAATTTGGAAGTTATTTATTTGTGGATTTCAAAACTAATTACAATTTTATGATTCTACATTGTTCAATCATTTTTTTTTTTTTGCTAGTTAAACGAGCCAATCAAGTTCTGTTCAATTCTTATATATTAATGTGAAATTTACTGATTTTATGAGTCTATTCAATGTATTCATTGATTAAATTGTTGTTTATTGCCTTTGTTTATTGTCTATAACTCTGATTTTGTTATTCGCACTTAGCAGAGCAAGGTTGCAGAGGTCTCACCTAGTGATGGAGGAGATGAGAGGTTAGAGATAGAGGGAGGGTTATTTTGGTCTATTAAAGTTAAAAAAATAGTGATGGAGGAGATGAGAGGTTAGAGATAGAGGGAGGGTTATTTTGGTCTATTAAAGTTAAAAAAATATTTTTTTGATCAATTCATAAGTTAAAGGATTATAAACTACTTTTAGCTCATGGTAGAGGTACCCTCGTAATAATGGAGCTTGAATTTGGGCAAGAGTCTATAGAGTCCTTTAGTACAATAATACAAGTCGATCCGGAAATAATGGCATGTGATTTCTGACTGATTCGTGTTCGTGGAAGTTTCATCGTGTACGTCCTTCTTCTTCTTCTTTTTCTTCTCTATTTTATTTTATTTTATTTTTTTTTAAATTATCTAACTAAATAATTTTTAATTAATTATTTATATCAAATACAATTAAGTAAAAAGTTTTACTTTCTTATTTGTTATATAATTAGTCAATTAAAAAAATAAGTCTAGCAATTAACTGTAACTATTCTGTACAAGAATCATTTCCTATAAATTTTTATGTCTCATTTTTCCTAACCAAAACACTTGGCCTCTCTGCTTATACTTTTTGGTACTGTAATCCACCAATCTACTACTAAAAAACAAACTTGCTCTGAAAATTCTGTAAAAATAAGAAAATAATTCTAATTATTAAAAATTGCTAAATACCAAAAATTAAACCAATTCAAATTTATATGTCCGTTTAACCTTTTAACAATCCAAACGGGTTTAACCTTTTAACCATTCAAACGAGTTCTAAAACCTTCAACTATTTGTTCTGCATCACATTCACATCCTAATCAAAAAAGCCTAAGAATGTAACTATCGTGGCTATATCATAATTTAAGTAACTATTTTTCTTTTGTATTTATTTATTTATTTATTCTTTGTTTCTTTTACTTTTGGCGGTTTGTGACGATCTAGTACCAGGAAACACTAATCTAGCGATACATTGGTGCCTCAATTGTCTATTCTGATAAGGATGCTTTCCATCATAAGGCTGGCGATGGGGATCTCACGTGGTCCTGTTTGTGTTGTGGGTTTTTATATGGCAGGCTCAAAAGCTTTCGACTTGGGTTACCAGTCTATTAGTCTTTGTGCAGTACTCCACAAGCTATATGAAAGAAAGGCTTGGAATGCCTCTGTTTGTATGGTCACATCCTAGTGTTCACACCGGATGAATTCTGTAATATTATTTTAGTGTATGGCTTTTTCATTTGCCAGAAAAATAATAATAATAATAATAATAATAAATAAAAAATACATTGGTGCCTCGTGACATCAACACGTACCATGTCCAAACAAACAAAACGTTAAAATGCACCATGATCACTTTTTGTTTCTACCCACATACTGTATTACTATTTTACAAGACGTGCATATTCGATGAAAAAAAAAAAAAGAAAAAAAAAAGGGACATATGTCCTTGTAAACAGCATGATTAATTGGCGGGAAAAAAAGAAAAATAATGGAAACGTGTAAAAAATGGTAACAGTAGTATTTAATCATTAAATTGAAAATCAGCACTCTTATAAAAGGCCTATTGAAGGATGAACATATGAACCACACAGCCATAACTTTCATTAATCCCCATAGTTACTTACAAACTAAGAAGCTAGATGGAGTTGATGAAGAGAAGCTTCAAGTTGGAGCTTTTAGGGTTTTTGCTGTTCAATGTGTTTCTCCTTTGCATGGCAAAGAAGAACATCACTACCATCAACTGGGTTGTAAGTATTTAAGATTTATAATTAATGTTATGTCTTTTTTGTTCACTGTGTGAGCGTGTGTTTTTTTGTTTTTAATGGTTTAAGCTCATAACTAGCGATGACGTACCCAAATTAAGTTTGTTTATGGGGTTTGGGTTGGTGTATACAGTATATATTATGAATGGATACTATGGCGCAGGTGGTTCAGGATCGTAACCCAGAAGGGGAATTATGAGTCTTCGAAAAAAGCTTTGAAACTGTTTAGACTTCCTTATTGCGTTGCCACCCACTTAGAATAGATCAGCAGCCTCTTCTTTCCAGTTTAGCGCGCTTTTTCTACAATCCACCCTTTTATAGGTAGATGGACGAAGATGGAGAAAGTGAGTCTCCTCTTTTGAACTGAGATTCTTAATTTCACTCACCGGGAGGCGAGAAGACTTTTTTTAGCTTTCATTTTGTTCATTACTTCGAAAACGATCTATCTACGTAAATACCTCTTCTAGAGATTTTGGCTAGGAAAGATATAGGCTGACAATCTTGATGCCTAATCCCACAATCTTTCAGATGTGGATCAATTCCAAACCCAACAATCAAATTACCCAAGCCTGAAAGCCTAGCCGATCCGGTCGAAACACCATTTTTTCATTCAAAAGTGGGCAAGAAGGGCACTCTTCATATAATATATGATTTAAGCTATCCAAAGACTAACGTACATCCTCATGCTTTTGTTTCGCTTCCTCACATATATATATATATATATATATATATATATATATATATATATCCTGCATATATTTGTGCTTTTATTTATTTAGTGGAATTTATGATAAATTTCTAATGTATGTGAGTTGGATTTATAGCTTCAAGAAGCGAATTACACACGGTTGTGTAGCACCAAGTCGATCTTGACTATAAATAGCCAATTTCCAGGACCGCCCCTGCATGTCCAGAAAGGTCAGAGGTTGATAGTCAATGTTCAAAATCAAGGGACCTACAATGTCACCCTGCACTGGTATGTATATATGGCTCTCTCTCTCTGTGTCTCTCTGAAATTTCCGCTGCAAGCCTCCTCCATCTACTTTAATATATATATATATATATATATATATATATATATCTCTCTCTCTCTCTTTCAAGAGAGAAAGGAATATATATCCCTTTCTTCTCCTTCTTCTTGTTTATCTTTTTAAGTGTTTTTAACTAGGAAGTTTTGAAGACTAAGCATGTTTACATTTATTGGGAAAAAATAAAATGAAAACTTCATTTTCATCCAATGTTAACCTATAAAACTTCATTTTCATCCAATGTTAACCTATAAAACTTCATTTTCAGAATATTTGAAATCCAATTTGCCTTGCACTGCGCGTCGCCAATTGCCCTTGTGTTCCCCACAGGCAGAATGGAACAGTATAGAAAGTCCACGGTACTAAGGGCATTGTATATGTGGTACCCAGTTAATGGACAGACATGAAAACTCTTGATTATTTTTTCTAGTACACAATAAATTGAAAGTTTGTATGTCCGTCTATTGGTTGGAGGTATCAAATATAAGTACTTCGGAGTATTATAGGTTTTCTCATATGGAGGATATATATGCAAATTCTTGTGTGCACTTTATTGTCTAGTACACCGAAGATGATCCTAATTCCATAAGATATGATAAGTCAAAAGTTGTTAATATTAAGTACTAAGGGCCTTATATTTTAATGGTATCTCATCTATTTCTTGAAATAAATGATGAGAGTTTGAGTTTCCAAAAAAATAAAATGGGTGTATGTGTTTTAATACTAGCAAAATTGAGTTAACAAAAAAAAAACCGTAATTCTACTAAAATAATAATGATAAAAAGATTTTAAAGAAAAATCACATCTTTGAAATGTACATATATTTGCATGGTTGCCAAACACCTAGAGTTTTGCTAAAATTCCAATGATGCACCCATTGAATTATTGGTAAAGCTGGGGGTCCCAATTATGGTGGTTGGAAAATTTAATTTAATTTTATTGTTGTTCAAGCCGACCGGTCGCCTTGTGTAGCACAATTTGTTGTTGACTGGGGGTCCCAATTATGGTGAAATTGCATTATTGGTAAAGCTGGGGGTCCCAATTATGGTGAAATTGCAGGCATGGAGTGAAGCAACCGAGGAATCCATGGTCAGATGGTCCGAATTTTGTGACCCAGTGCCCCATCAGACCAGGAGCAAATTTCAGTTATGAGCTTATTTTCTCAACAGAGGAAGGAACCCTGTGGTGGCATGCCCATAGTGACTGGACACGAGCCACCGTCCATGGTCCCATCATTGTTCACCCTAAAAATGGAACCACTTACCCATTTCCCAACCCTCATGCAGAAATTCCCATTGTTCTATGTAAGGAGATATCTTTTATATATATATATATAAGTAATCATGCATAAATATAACCTGAATCAATTATATATGTATATATCTTAAGGCTTAATTTGGTTGGTTTTTATTGTATATATGTAGCATCTTGGTACAAGGGAGATGTGATGGAGGTAATTGAATCAGCACTTGCATCTGGAGGCGATCCCAATAAGTCTGATGCTTTTACCATCAATGGCTTACCTGGAGATCTATACAAAGATCTATTCAATTGTTCAACAGATGGTATGCATATTATATATATATATATATATATATATATATATATATGTGTGTGTGTGTGTGTATTAAAAATAAAAAATACAGATTTCCTTTTTTAAAGGTATATTAAAAGTATTTTGGAGTTTTTAAAAATAAAAAAATAATCAAATTTGACATTCAACTGACATTAGGGAACAATTTATACGTATTTTCAAATATTAAGGATTTATATTCTTATACTAAATAATAAGAATGTTTTTTTACACTTTATCCTTAATTTAATTTATCTCATCAACACATCAATTAAACTGTCAACTGTTATTGGCTTAAAATCATTGCAGGGATATTCAAAATAATAGTGGAGTACGGCAAGACCTATCTTCTTCGCATGGTGAATTCAATATTGAATGAGGAAATGTTCTTGATGCTTGCGAATCACACCCTCACTGTTGTTGGGATTGATGGAGCTTATGTCAAACCCATAGTTACAGACTATATCATGATAACTCCGGGACAGACCATGGACATTCTGATCAAAGCAAATAAGACCCCAAACCAATATTACATGGCATCGAGAGCCTACGGAGAAACAGCTTATGACAACACCACCACCACTGCCATACTCCAATACAAAGGCAACTATACAGTTCCATCAACGCTTCCATTCCCGGACCTTCCGGAATTCGAAGACATTGATGCTGTAACTAATTTTACGAATCAAATCAAGGCTCTGGCCAGCAATGCCCACCCAGTAGACGTCCCACAATCAATCGACAAACGTCTCATTATAACTATTTCTATGAACACACTGCCATGTAACGAGAGTACATGTACCGGTGCTAACAGGTTCGCGTCGAGTTTGAACAATGTTAGTTTTCAGGAACCGGCCATGGATATATTGCAAGCTTACTACCGACAGATAGGAGGGGTGTTTACCACGGATTTTCCGAGTGAGCCGCCTTATGTTTTCAATTATACGGCAGATTCTGTGCCGGATAATTACACGACGCCGGACACAGGCACGAAGGTGAAAGTTTTGGAATATAACACGAGTGTGGAGATAGTGTTCCAGGGGACTAATGTGATGGGGGTAGGTGAGAATCATCCAATGCATCTGCATGGGTATAGCTTTTATGTAGTGGGAATGGGGTTTGGAAATTTCGACAATGAGACTGACCCCGCAGGATATAATTTGGTTGATCCACCTGAAATGAATACCGTTGGTGTCCCTAGAAATGGATGGACCGCCATCAGATTCATAGCTGATAATCCAGGTACCTAACTACATTTTCAAATTATCGTATTTGCGTTTCTCATATAGTCCGATTTGCGACGTATTGACCGATACATCATCAGTTTTTAAGTCCTATCAATACATGTTTCATATCGGCTAGTTTATACTGACTTTGTCCTAGTAAGTTTCTGATATTACAACCGTAACCGATATTGCTAACCATGACTTTATAAGCTCCACTAGTCAATATATATATATATATATATATATATATATATATATATAAATATTGATGGATCTATATTGTTCTAATGATGCAGGGGTGTGGTTCATGCACTGCCACTTGGAAAGACATGCTAGCTGGGGTATGGATGCAGTGCTAATTGTGAAGAATGGGACCACCACAAAAACGAGTATGAGACGGCCCCCACGTCACTTGAATCCTTGTTGAGTTTCTCACAAGTGACTCATTGATCTTATATTTCATTGTGGTAGAAAAAGAAGGAAAATAAGGATAACATGCATATATATATATATATATATATGTCCAAATTTGTTGCAAGGCTTTCTTTCAAATGTTGTTGATTTTGTTATGGATGTTGTTAGTACGTATTTCTTTGTATCAAATTTCTACAAAGGGTATCAATAATTAATTAATGTGTTCAAGATTATTGTATTATTTGTGAGTTGTGATTAATCGATGTCACATGTTTATTTTATCCAAATTGTTGCTTGATGAGATATTTATTAAATTAAAGCAATCACATAACAATATAATAAGGATAACATGCATGTGCGTGTGTGTGTGTATATATATATATATGTATGTCCAAATTTGTTGGGAGGCTTTCTTTCAAATGTTGTTGATTCATGTCATGGATGTTTTTAGTATGTATTTCTTTGTATCAAATTTCTACAAGGGGTATTAATAATTAATTAATGTGTTCAAGATTATTGTATTATTTGTAAGTTGTGATTAATAGATGTCACATGCTTATTTTATCCAAATTGTTGTTTGATGAGATATTTATTAAATTAAAGCAATCACAAAACAATATAATAAGGGAAGTAGAGTTAGAAGATACCGAATTTTAGCGAGAAAATTCAATTAAAAAAATCTCAAGAATCTTCACGTTGTTTCAAGCGAAGCAATCAACCATGTATAACTTCGACTCAGGCTCACACCCCTTCACTCTACCAAGACCCAATTTGCTGAAGGTATCTGCCTTTGCGACTCTTCCAACAGCTCTCGACTTCAGTCTCTAGCCAAAAAGAGAAACCAAACTGGAAAATGATTTAAGTTAATTTTTTGGTCTACAAGACTGTAAACGGTTGCGTTGAGTGCAACCGGTTTTGCTTAGCCGATTGGGCGACCGACTTAGTATAGACTGAGAGTTATTATTAAAAAGACAAATTTAAAAACAATCGAGCATAACCGGTTGTGTAGAACGCGACTAGTTCCGAAACAACAATTTATTTTCCTAAAAACCAGTTCTTTGAAAATTATTATAAATGCTTAAGTCATGACTGTATCAAAGTGTAGACAAGATCAATATGTTTTATTTGATAACTAAATTTGTTGTACAATGTTTCATATATATATATATATATATTCTACTTTTAGATTTAAGTTACAAATATGATTGCGACTTTTTTATTTATTTATATGAATTTAACAACAAAAATATAAAATAAAAACAATTTTGAAAGATATTTTGTAGAGTAACTTTAGAATTCTCATTGCCGACATAAATTTTGCTTTCACTGATCAACTGTATATATAAATACTTTATAGTCTCGCTTATTAAAATTGGCCGCGTTGATTTTTTTGCATAATGATTTTTAGAACACAATTTAGTCAATCCATGGTGAGTTCAGTGGGCTAACTAGAAAAAATTGCCGTCTCTTTATTAGAGGACTATAAAGGAAATTTTTTTATGTAAGTTCTAAATCTAATTAATTCCCACTCATCTTGATTTGGAACATTTTTAACGTTGTTTTCAATTATATTTTTGTCCACTTAAATAATTAATTATCAATTTATCTGCATTATAAACATATCTTTCAAACTAACTCTGACCCACTCTGCAGACAGCCATACCCCATCTTCGCTCTTGATAATGGCACTTATAATCAATCAATAAAGCAAAACAGAATATGACCAGTCAAGTAGAAGAGAAAAATCCTCGGAAAAAATATATTAAATGAATGAATGAAAGGCAATGAATGGCAGATTTGAACACGGGGTGTATTTGTTTAGGGAACTGAATGCTTTACTGATTACCTAACTTAGTAATGTCTTATACTTAACAAATTCAACTATACATGATTATAACTATTACTTTGACTTAGTATGGCTCTATTTTGATTCTATGTATATGTAGTTGTACCAATAACTTAACATAATCATAATAATCAATAATTTTTCGGTCACTGTTTTCCACTCTTAAAAGCTTCTCCTGCTATTTCTATGGTTGCTGTTTTCCACTCTTAAAAGCTTCTCCTGCTATATCTATTGAGCAATTCTAAAGTAGATATGATTGTCACGCGCTTTTTCTTAATTTTTTTTTTAAGGTGTGAAGAATCAATCCTAAATTCAATATCAGATTCGGTTGATTCGGTAATTATCAAACGTGTGAAGAAATTTTTTATTGACCGGTGTGCAAGACATCATTTTGTGTATATATATACATGCGATTTACATATGCGCATATACGCCTAACCCCAACTCCCATGATCCTATATGTTTTTTTAATGCAATGGCTATGTTTGGTATCACCCAATCAGATATTCAATTTGCGGCGCGAATCACCTGCTGTGCAATTCTCAGACTCTTTCCTACAATAAGCAGTAAATGGTCTTAGTTTGGACATATTTTACTTCACTTAATAGACACTAACACTGTGTTAGGCAATTGCACCACTATTCATAAGTAACATTTCAGCATCATTTTTAAGTAACGTCACAGAAGTAATATCACATAGTCTAAAAAGTAACATTACCATCATTTATAAGTATCTTTCACCCTCAAAACGTGGTGATATTATTTTTTAGATTATGTGATATTACTTTTAAATTTCTGTGATGTTACTTATAAATGGTGATCATATTACTTTTTAGACTATTTTTACATTTCACCACCATTTATAAGTAATATCACAAAATCTAAAAAGTAACATCACCGTTTGTAAAAAAAAATATCATCACTCTTAATTTCAAATAATAATATTAATGATACGTTGAATTGAGTTATGTTTATATGTGACATTATTTTTAGATTATGTGATGTACTTATAAATTAATTGTAGTGAAATGTTTCTTATAAATAGTAGTATAATTGGCCAAATACGATTCACAGCTGATTGATTCAACCAACTTTACCCACACCGACAACGCATTCTTACAACTAGTTCTTTATTTAGGTGTGGGTCCCATCAATGTAAGGGCCTTGTTGTTTTCCTACTTTTGAGTTTCTCCTTCCGCTCGTTTTTATGAGCTCTGATTTGTTTGATCTTTTCTTAATCATAGATTCAAGGGCCTGTTAGGCTGCTAGCTCCAAGCCTCCATCGCATATTTTATTCTTTTTAATATATATATTGCATATATATATATATACACAACTAATACGCGAGACATCATTTGCTGTGTGTGTTTGAGAAAAAAATAATAATAATAAAATAAAATTGGCTGTGTGTGTATATATAAAAATATATATACATAAAGTCATTTTACATGTTGCACACGCATACCTGCTCCAACTCTGGTGGACAGTCGAATCTATGGGGAGCAAGGCTGCTTCTTCAGTTGTCCAAGACTTTTGTCAGACTCACACACCTACGGAATATAACTTTATATCCTAAGAATACTCTAGACACATAAATTAACATGTCACACATTTATGTAAAACTCAATAAATTAATGCTTGCTAAACATAGCCCGCATAATCCATTGACAGGCTTCATATTTTTTATTTTATTTTTTATCCTAAGAATATTCTAGAGACATAAATTAACATGTCACACATTTATGTAAAACTCAATAAATTAATGCTTGCTAAACATAGCCCTCATAATCCATTGACGGGCTTCTTCATTTTTTTTTTTTTTTTAGTCTACAAGTTGAGATGGGACTTCACCTTACCTTTAAATTTAGCAGACTCTGTCTGTACCGCAACACTTGAACTAAAGGTCAAAAGTGCGGAAAAAAACAAAAAAAAAAAAAAAACTCCTATCTCAAAATTACTAACCCACCATTACTCTTGAAATATCTCAAAATTATTGTTATTATTATTAGGGCTAATTAAATAAAATAAAAATCACGGTAATTTCAACTTTTAATCGTGAACTCTCAATTTATTTTAAAAAAATTTTTATATTTTAAAAAGTGATCACATTGCCCTTAAACCCGCAACTGATACATTAAATTGATTGTGAAATATTGAATTTGCCCTTATTATTTAATGTTAAATTAAAACTTAAAAATTATTTTTTTAATGACAATTTTACCCTGTTCATGATCTAATCCAAATGAACAATGACGCTGTTTTTTCACCAAACAATTTCCTTCATCCTTTGATTTCAGGCATAACTCATATATATATATATATATATATATATATGGTGGAAATTGGATCTTGCTATAGATATCAATCTAACTCATTTGAAACCCTAAAAATAACAACGACGACATTTTCAACTTTGCAAACTAACGCGATGCTTCACTACCTTCAAAGGAGTTGGACTCCAACTTCGTAGAATTGGAGTCGCTGGTAAACGACAACATGAATGAATTCGCCGCTTGTATCATGGTCTCCTTTCTCTCGACGGATTCGTTTTTAACCAACTGGCCGGTGATGGTTGTGAGGTAGAGGAGGCAAGCTTTGAATCGGAGTGGGACAGTAAACCTTCAAAATCGAACCATGTTTATCCTCCACTGTGTGATGATTGACCGTCGCTTGAATGAATGGCTCAAATTCTAGGGTTTTGTGTTGTTGTTGATCGAGGAGGAAGAGGAAAAACACGACCTCTTTGAAAACGGGCGTGACCGGTTCTGGTCCGATCAAGCAACGAATTGAACTTCTTGAACTTGTTGACGCGACTGCTTTGTTATCTGCATCGCCGCAGTTCATGGCGCCAACACAGTGACCTTGGTCGCCATGCTTGCACCAACGATCTTCAAAGACTCAACCTTAATTTCTCACCAATCGCAACACCAAACCCAAATCAATCAACATGGTCACTCCTTCTCTCAACACCCTTATACCATCCTCCATCTCCACCATCAGATTCCTATGTAGCTAGCTACGGCAGTAGAATCCTCTCTAGCTACCACGGCGCCACACCCGCCTCCTCTCCATCTCCTTTGCCGATCAATCCCTCTTATAATTCATACATATATATATATTGATAATATGCATATAAGTTACTTTGTTAGGGATATTTGTGACGTCGTTACAGAACCATCACTTGGTCTGGTGATGGGTTTGTTTTAGAGAGAGAGAAATGGGTGAGAATTTGAGAGAGAGAGAGATGGGTAACGAAGAAGACAAAGGTATTTTTATAATTTTACAAAAAATAATTTTTAGTCTTAAATCTATCATTAAATAGTAAGGTTAATTTTGTCATTTCAAAATTTGATTAATGGGTCGAGTATGAATATTGCTTTTTAAAGTGTAAGGAATTTTTTAAAATAGATTAGGGGTTTATGATTAAAATTCGAAAGTAATGAGAGTTTTATAAAATTAGCCCATATTATTATTGTTTTTGGTATTGTTACCAGAGTAAAAATATACACTTCATATATTTTATACATTTTATATGTAGTATTAAATTAATAAGTGAGGGTAAATAGGTAACTTCGATCTGGATGTTGAAAATTGATATCCGGTCACTGAAAAAAGGTCACAATGCAACTTTGTGATAGTTTAGGGGCTGATATGTACCAATCAATTTTGCAAATTTGAAATAGTTTTAAATCTATTAATGTTTTGTTTTTTTTTTTTTTTTTTTTTTTCTTTGGTAAATAGTAGGGCAAACATATACACTTTTTGATTGATTGTTTGTGTTGCAATTGGTTATCATTTGAAGATACATTAAACCACACATCAAATTGAAGATACTCCAAATAGATTATAGTAATAATTGAACAATGTTATGATTGAGTTGCGTTCTCACGTGTAACGTTGTATAAAAAAAACTTAATTAATGAACATGTGTTCTTCCTAAGTTCCTTTATCATGATTCATGACAACATTTTTTATTTTTATTTTTGTAATCATTGTAGGGCAATGAATGACATGATTGTGTTTTACATTGATGGCCTAAAACGTTTAGACCAAAGATGAATTCATGTCATGATTTCGATTCCACTGGAAATCAAAGTGCAATGAATGTGAGCGTCCACTGAGTACTACTCCCTCCATTTTATAAAAAAAAAAATATTTTATTTAGAGAATCGTGACTCAAGAATATGGCAGTTTTAGGACAGTAATTGTAGGGCAAGAAATGACTTGATTGTGTTTTACATTAATGGCCTAAAACGTTTAGACCAAAGATGAATGAGGAGTGTTAATTACAGTCTATTTACAGTTGCAAATGGGATTGATTAGTTTTAAATGCATTATTTATTTATGTTTTTATTTTTATGAGACTCTACAAATATTACTTTTTTAGACAAAAATACCCTTTTGAATTATTTAGCCTTTCTTTCTTATCTAAAGAGAGGAGAGTGAGCAAATAATCCATGTATAAGATAGATTCTGAGATTTTAAAAAATATATATATACACAAATTTAGTTTCATATACATAATTTTTTTTTTTTTTTCACAACTATCTTTGGTGAATGAATTATTTCTTTTTCTTTTATTTCCTTTTCTTTTAAAAATCTATTTATACAAGGATAGTTGTAAAAAAAAGAAAAACAAAAAGAAATATATATATAGGAAAAAACAAAAAAGGAAAGAATTTATTCACTCAAGGATGGGTGTAAGAAAAAATATATAATCGACCTCAGAATCCATCTTATACGATTTTTTTCTAGCTCTTTTTTTTATTTTTTTTTATTTTTACTCTTTTATTTAATTTTTTCTCCTTCCTTTTATTTTTTTCGAATCCATCAATATCTTGTGAATGAATTATTCTATCTATATTTTTTTTCCCTTTTCAAAATCCATTCACATAACACTAGTTACATATATACACACACATACTAGATTAAAAGAGGAGATAAGAAGAAAGATTAGATAATTTAAAAGAGTATTTTTGTCTAAAAAAAAATAATGTTTGTAGAGTTCATAAAAATAAAAACTCAAATAATTATTGTATTTAAAACTAACTAATTTTAACTACGACTGTTCTCCCCAAGATGAATTCATGTCATGATTTCAATTCCACTGGAAATCAAAGTGCAATGAATGTGATTGTCCACTAAGTATTACGTTTCAATATTAAGCCACATGACAGATTTAGGGCATGCCTAATTTTTGCAATAATACAATGGAATGTTAGGTAGCTTTCGTTTCTCTTGCTTCGGAACGGTTGATGTAACACAACATTCATTCATCCATTCCACACAGGTAAGAGCAAATGAATTTGAATTGTTGTTGGTTGTCGACCACCGACAATTTTAACCCATTCCAATTCAACGGGAAATTAATATAAAAATTGGCTTAAAAACCATATTATATATCCTTGACTCATTATCAAATCCAGGGAAAAAAAGGTGATTTGGATTTCATCAACTTTAATGTAAATTTTTTTAAGACTTTTAGAGATCTCATTCAAATGTGAATACTTTTTGTTATAAAAATTGAATTTTAATTTATAACAAAGTCTTCTCAATCTCAAAAGGCGTGGCCAAAGGGGTAACACGTTCAAGTGGACCAAACATCTAAATTCAGACAGTTAAGCAACAACCGAGCATAAAATCATATAGCAACAACGGAGCATAAAATCATAGTATATGATTTTATTATATGATTATATTATGATTTTTATACACAGTGTTGCTTCGGGAATTTAGATTTTTGCATATGTGTGTGTGGTTCTTTTGGTCACGCTTTTCAAGATTGAGAAGATTTTTTCAAGATTGAGAAGATTTTTGTACCCACCGTAAGTGCCCTTGTATATGTATTCCTCCTATTACTATATCAGCTTATGTCTTTTGACCCGAATATTAAAAAATAAGGATAAATTACATTTACTCCCTACAAGATTTGTCATAATTATAACAATATACAAGTTAACTTTTTTTTGAACAATAACACTCCTTTAAATTTGATAAAATTAATAAAGACACCTGTTACACAAGCTAAAATGACATTATTGCCATTAAATCATAGAATTACCTTTGTTACCTTTCGAATCATTTTAATGAACCAATTTAGCCCTCTCAGTCACTGGAGCTGAGGACCCGCCCCGCCCCCCAAACCATTGCATGTATATACACACCCCCACACAAGTTTGTATATACACAACACATGTATTATAGGCATACACATGCATACACACATACTGCTCCAAAATCGATTTTATAGATCACAGGCTTCACAGCCAACCACTAACCCCCCGTCTATAGCTACCATAACACCGAATGGTGAGTGCATCAAGTGAGACAAGCTCAACGTCACTTCCTCGAGGGTGGCGTGGGTCGGATAAAATTTTGGTCGTTGTCAAAATTGACATTCAAAGGGACACTATGTTCATACTTTTAAATGTTATGAATTTTATAAGCATATTAAATAGTATGGTGTACTTTACACATTTTTTATACAGGCAATTTATTTATTTATATTATAGTTTATCCATAATAATAATAATAATAATAATAATAAACTAAGAATTTGGGTGGGTACCGCTAAAATTTACATACCAGAATTTTTGCCAAAAAATTGACAAAACAAAAGCTGATTCAATAGCTGCTTCAACAGGTGCAATAGCTATTAGGAAAAAAAAAAAAAAAAAAAAGGGTAAGTAGCAATAGGTGTAAAGAAATTCCAAAGATAGTTCATTTTATTTGACGTCTTAAAAAATAAAAAGAATAAAAACGTTAATAAATTTATACTAACAGCACTCAAATAAGCTCAAGACACATGAACAACTTTCAATATTGAAATAAATTAGGGTTTAGGGCCCAATATTAAAATATAACAACTTTCAATAATGTCAGTTTACCCCATAAAAAACATGCTTATATATTCCTTGACGTGACCCTCCAGTTATTGATGGACATTGGAATCGGCTTTTTTCTTTTCTTTTCTTTTCTTTTCTTTTCTTTTTTTTTTTTTTTTTTTTTTTCTGAGTTGAACATGGATCTAATATGAGTTTGCTTCAATTTTTTTTACAAATAATAATAATAAAAAATAAAAAAATAAAAAAATAAATATACTCTCCCAAGGAACTAATGAATAAGATGTAGTTTTTTCCCCAAACTATGTTTTATGACCCAGAGCTCATGACCGGAAATATTAATACGTCTAGGACAATTTAAAAGAATTTTGTACTATTGTAATGTTATTTTTTAAAATTTAATTCACCACTTCAAAAAAAAAAAAAAAGAATAAATAAAGGATAAATTGCACTCACACCCCATGAAGTTTGGGTCATTGTCTCTCAGTAGACGGTCAACGTACTTATTTATATTGACATCCCTTGAGATTTCAAAAGTTTACATACACGCCTCTCTACCCAAAAAAATGACCATTTAAACCTTTGACTTGGTTAACAAATAGTAAATTACTAATATAACCCTGAAATTTAAGTTTTAAAGGACCAAAATAACTTTCAATTTTCAATCCCATACCTTCATTCCATACCTTTCTGTAACTATACACCACCCACCATCCCAAACCCCTTCATCCCATACCCTCTCTCACCATACGTCGCCCACCATTGCGAACCAAATAAACTCACCATTACCACCAACAATCAAAACCACCACCATCACAACCATCGACGCGCACACACCCACCACCACAACCACTGCCGCGCATACACACACCCACCACCAAGCCGAACCTAAGACGAACCCACCACAACCACACTGTCACCCACAATCACCATCGCCACACACCACCACAACCACCGCCGCACCCACACACACCACCAAGCCGAACCCATCACAACCACCGCCGCACCCACACACCACCAAGCCGAACCCATTCTTGCTCAAGGTTGGACTTGCCCAAATGCTTCGCGGCAGATCAAATTGTCAAAGTCACCAACTTCGACCAGCCCAAGATCGCCGAATTCGCTGCAGCCACAACACCTGGGATAATCCACTGAGGTGGTGGGTGTGAGTGATTACAAGTTAAGGTTATTTTGATCAATTAATAGGTTCAGGGGTAAATATGTCTTTTGAAATCTCAGAGGATGTCAATGTAAATTAGTGTGTGAATTGTCCCTTGAATGACATTGATCCAAACTTTAAAAGTGTGAGTGCAATTTACCTATCAATAAATTACAGATAAAAAAAAAAAAAAATGCTAGTCAGACCAAACTCATATCATTCGTAGCGCATGTATACAAAAATTATACACTTCTGTGACATTGACTAGAAAACCAAAAAGAAAAAAGAAAAAAGAAAAAAAAGAGGTCACATACAATGGGAAAGTTGAAATATCTGATATTATAATCTTTTATTTTAATTTTAATTTTATACTAATGAAAGAGACATGTATTTTTATTTTATTCTTATGCCATAGACTTTATCTTTTATTTTTAAGTGAGGCCCATCATTTACTAAATTATTTTAATCTATAAAGATTCAATTGTTTAGACAAACCCTCTCTCACTTTCGTTAGACAAATCCTCTTTCCATATTGTTAAGCAATGTAGTTTGAAATCTTTTAACCCTAAGTGAGGTACATCATTTACTATATTATTTTAGTCTTTAAAGATCTGATTTTAAACGTGTTAGCACAAAATTTGATTGTTTTTGAGTGATTGTATATAGGAATTTGGATCTACTACCCTGATGTACTAGATGTCCTAGTGCTATCAATTCATAAAGTGTATGAACCTCACCAACAACTCCACCTCTGTGTTCATTATTTACTGCCGAGGTGGTAATTTACATATCCACCCCTAGGAATTAAAAATAAAAAAAAAAGGAGAAAAATTTTCAAAAATTAATATGCTTGTCCAAAATTGAGGTAATCCTAAATAAAAATTAAAATAGTCCCCAACTGTGAAAACAACAAAGGCAGAAAATGAGCTAAAAACATAGCAACAAATTAAGTAAAAAACTTAGCGCATGCATTTTGGTCTGTTCATATACACTTACAGTAATCAACGGAACGAGCACGGCAGCACGGTCCTTCGTCTCAACAAGACTTCATTCATGACTTAGGAGGAGGAGTTACTACTACTTGTGTATCATCAATATACAAGGGAAAAATTTGAGATTTGTATCCCCATACCAATTAATCGTCTCTTTAAATAGATACTTGACAAGCTCACAATACTCTTTTTAAAATATCTCTCTCTCTCTCTCTCTCTCTCTCTCTTAGATGATTGCATGTACTATTAAGTTTGCAGTACATCAAAACTTATGTTTTGTACTTTGTACTACCAACATGAGCTATGCTACTTCAGAATAATGGTTTGTATTTTGTACGACCAAAACGAGCCATGTGATAAAAATTGATAAATACTCGGACAATCCATTAATCCTCCCATATGTTTTGATTCTCCGGAATTGAAGTACAATGTCTTATTAGTGGGCCTCGTGTAAAGTCTAGGCATTATTATAGTGACTTGAATAATTGAATGTCCCTTGTTCGAAATAAGAAACAGTAAGATTGATCTCCTATGTTCTTGCGGTCTCAAGTTTAAAACAAAAAATAATTTTCATGTCTTATGCGTAAGTTAGTCTACTTATGTTGTAATTACGAAGGTTTGTGCATTGTGCTAGCCCCTACTTCCGATCCAGCAATTAAGAAGGCCCGTGCAATGCTATAAACCTCGAGCTGCCAAGTGTAAGGAGATGGACTCAAACATGACAACAATTACTTTGTACTAGAGCTGCAATTCGGGCGGGTTGGGCAGGCTTGGCACTCATATCGGGTTAGACCCATATAAAAAATCTTCAACCCAAACCCGCACTGAGCCCACCTCAAAAGAATTTGTGTGTAAAAAATATATCAATTAATACTACACACATAACTTGAAATGAAACCATAAGCATAAATCTCAAGCACACTACTAACTTGAAAATCACACTCTTGTGACTTAAGTATAATTATAATATATATAATATTTTCGGGTTCGGGTTTCATCCATATCAACCTAAGCCCAGCCCGAATTGAATTCGGGCTCAAAATATATAACTCAGGCCCAAATCGAAATTAGAAAAATATTACCCAAGCCCATAAAATTTCGGGCTGGGCTGGGGTTATTTCGGGCTAGGCCCGTCCAAGTTGTAACCCAACTTTATGCAAATCAACAATAATTAAGGTTAGTTCCTTTGCAATCCAAGTATATATTCCTATATCATCTTTGTTATAATCTTGTTGTGAGTTATGCAGCGGAATAAATTGTGGGAAGTTTGAGTTTTTATTTATAGAGAGGATTTAATCATGTGTTTCTCTATTCAATTTACTTTATTAAAATTATTGATTAATTAAACAATTGCATGCAAATTAAAAACGAGTAAAGTTTAGAATGACACCGGATTTTAGTGAGGAAACCAACTGAAAATCTCGAGGTTTTGTGTGTTATCCCAAGCGTAAAAAGATCCACTGTGTATAGAGTAAAGTACACCGAACTTTAACTCAGACTCGAACCCCTTCGCTCTACCAAGACTCAATCCGCTGAACATCCCTGACTTTGCAACTTCCCGTCCAACAGCTCTCCACTTCAGACTTATGCAAACGCCTTGATCCCTTCAAAGTGTGATACGAAATTCTTTTTATTGAATTTGAATTTGATGTAGAAGAAATAAGATCTGCTTTCTCTTATCGTTGTAGATGCAATCTTCAATAAATTCGAACACGATCAGAATTTGAACAATACCCTAAATTCACTCGTGTGTATATAGTGTGTATGCTATTAAAAATATCACAAAAAGGCTTTTAATGAAAATTAGAATTTTAATGCAAAAAGCCACACAAACCTAGATGAGAAAATATGTTTATATAGGTTTTCAAAACCCTAGTTATACTTGGAAAATAAGTTAATTTCGTGCATGGGTTTTTGGAAAGAAGTCTATACACAATAGGAAGTTAAAATAGAATAGAAAATAAGTTACCTAAATTTGCAGAAACACTTGAACCGATTCAGGGACCTTGAACCGGTTCAAGTTGGCTAGTATTGTTTTTGTTTTAAAAAAATGAAGCTTGACATCTTGAACCGGTTCAGCTGCTTTGAAACGGTTCAAGTTGGCCAGATCTGAACTTAAGGTTTAAACACTTAGAAAAATTTCGGCAACATGCAGTATTGAAAACCATAGATGTATGCAAGTGTCCTAACCTTCTAACTCATATTCCTAAGGTGTTGTTCTTACCTTTTCGTAGATTTCAAGCTATAAAACATGAATAACTCTTCAATTCTGCCACAACTGATCTTGAACTTGAATTTCAAACTCAGAAGTACAACTCGATCGGACTTGTTTTGACAATGATATTAGCCAATTACAAAATATATATCTCATAATCTCCCCCTTTGGCAATTTCATGACAAAACCCTAAAAACAAATTATAAGTTACCCAAGCAGAAAGGAAGATTACAAATTATTAAACACAACGGAATTTTTTCTTGAATTTTTTTCTTGAACTCATTTTTCCAATCTATCTAGATCATCACCTTGAATTGTTTGTCAACCTGTTGTCTGCACAGTAAACAAGCAAAACTACTAATAAAAGCTTAACAGAGAAGAACCAAAACAACAAAATCCCCCTTAGTTATTAAAACTCCCCCTGAATAGTATCAATTATATCTCCCCCTTTTTGGAACACAATTGACAAAGATAGACAATAAGGTGAACATATTTCATTAATATCAAAACAAGTATCAAACATAGTGACAATGTCAGCAAAAGCAAAACATAATGCATATAACTGTGTATAAACATGTAAGCACACATTATGACCAAAATAATAACAATACCCAACAAAAAATAACTGATAATTATCCAAAAGAACATCAATCATCAAAATCATCCCCGTCAAAAGGGAATGTGGTGGTCACCACATCAGAACCACCAACCCCATCATCACTGACATCCTACTCTTCATCATCCTTAGCTCTCACGGATGTCTCTAGATGTGCGGGTCTGTAAACGTCCTCTGTAGAACCACCCATTTGCTGTGCCCGAAGCATATTTGCCTTTACCTTCAGATCTCATATCTCATCCAAAATTCTCTCCAACAAAGCATTATTACTCTGAACGATGGAGGCATACATCAAGTTAGTATCATCCTTTGAGAAGTTGCCTTTTGTTATAAAGAGTTTTTCAGAATCCTCAACTTGAGAGGAGCAAAAAGCTGAAACACCTCGTGTTTTCCTTGCATTTTCTCAGGTAGACTTAGACTTGTTCAAAGCACAGAGATCTAGCTCAGTCATGAGGTTTTGATGATAAGCTCGGGGAGGAATCAAAATTATATTCTTCTTGTACAAACCAACGATTACCATTGGAAACTGAGATACATTCCTACGAGAATTTTTCTTTTAATAAGCCATCATCAATTCCATAATGGATTGTGCAATATGAATTTGCTCCCCTTTAGCAAGAAAATATAAAATATGAGCTCGCTTTAAAGTGATCTCATTTTGTTTCCCAAAATACCCAAGATTAGCTATGGTAAAATGATTAAAGAATGCCGCTTCATCTGTGAGATGACGAGTTGGAAAGAAGTAATCATACCTAGGAGATCCCAGAACACAAAGAGTGTCATGAATTTTCGGCAATTTGGGACTCAAACCTTCAATAGGCATGATATGTCCTGAGCTTCCAACCTTTCTCTTGCTTGGACCAATTGGAAGGGATTTTTTTGACAACAAGGTAGTTTACAATGTCGGCAAACCATGGCAATATTTCATGAGAAATCTGAAATAGTTGTTCATCCGAAAAGGAATCATGAACTAGAATAAAATTAGAAGATGTCTCAATGAGGATATAAGAAAGGTGGTCGACAATGACATTTTAGGAACCTTTCTTGTCCTGAATTTCAAAATTAAATTCTTGTAACAAGAGTATCTAGCGAATTAATCGGGGTTTTGTTTCTTTCTTGGCCAGCAAATGCCGTAAGGTGGCATGGTCGGAAAATACTATGACCTTAGATCCGAAAAGGTATGAGCAGAACTTGTTCAAGGCATAGACAACATCTAGCAACACTTTTTTAGTTGTGGTGTAGTTTATTTGGGCATCTGTAATGTCCCGGATTTTTCAGGATTTTTTGATTTTTGATTTTTATTTTTCGTACCTCATTTTGCGTGCCACGTGGGTCTTAAGGGTTGTTTAGGACATTTTCATAAGCTCGGGAGTTGTAGGAATGCATTTAATTTATTTTAGGTATTTTATTATTTACGGGATGATTTTAGAATTTTTTGGAGTCGGAACCGACTTTGGTGTGCTTGGATTATTCCCAGTTTTCATTATTGACTGTTATTGTATTTGGCATGTTATATATATATATGTGTGTGTGGTAAGATATTTAGAGGGAAAAGTGGGGAAGTTGAATAGCTTAAAGGGGCATTTGGGTAACTTTAACCAAAGAGGAATGAACCACAATGTGACACTTGGCATCATAAGGACCACATATGCAATTGGAAGACTTGGCCAAACACCATATTCTCTTCCATTTTCGGCCAACACCTTCCTCTCTCTAGTTTTTAATTTTCTCTTTCTTTATATTGTTATACAAACTCAAACCTTCATGCTTCTATCTAACTTTTGAGAGATCGACTTGAAGTGAGATTTTGCAAAGACTATAATAGAAGGATTGGTTCTTTACATCAAGGGCTTCCATTTGACACCACCCTTGCACCCACTAGGAGGATGATGTTTGTATGTGAGGCATTTGTTGAGGTCCTTGTTATGAGGCTTGAATGTTGGAGAGTTCTTTAAAATCACTTAAGGTTTTTAAAGGTATGGTCTTCATTTAAGGATTTTGTGAGAATGACGTTTGGAGTTATGGCCTAATGATGAGCACGACATGGTTGTTAGGTTGGATTGACAAGAGGGAATGGCTTGATCAACCACCTTCCTTATGTCAATTCCGCTCAGACAGAATGTTGGGTCAAATGTCTATGTTTTCCCTTTTCGTAGTGACTATAAGAGTAAAAGGTTGTATATTATGATGATTTGAATCGAATGAGTTTCATTAGAGATAAGTGTACTCTTATGGATGGATAGGAGATTTCATTTGAGGATATGGTAGGGATTAATCACTGTGTGTGGATTGGCGAGATTGTGATTCGACTAACTTCTTGTGACTAGTTCAATGGGTTCGTGGACTTTACTTT